TGCATAATCATTTCATCCCTTACTAGTATGCGGTTAGTGCATATAGTACATGCTTATTAGGATCATGCATGACAAATGAAAATCTTTGAAATTCATAGCCTACCATTATTGGTTGAATGATTAATTGATCTAGTGGTTAGTATATGAATTTGTTCATGAGCTAGTGAACTCAAGTACTTAGATTGCTAACAAGTGACAAGTACAACATTGGTAAGATAACCTTTGTAAGAGGTGTGAAAAAGCTTGTCATTGGTTCAAACCAGACTTCAAAGCTTAGGCAAATCAATTTAGTTCAAATCAACTTAGAAACTCACGATAAATAACAAGAGTACAAGCACAAGACAGCAATGCAAATGGATATCTAGTTTGTTTATTTCAAGTGGTGTCTAGATCAACTCAAAAGTGATATCCTACAAGTGGTACTCATGAAGATAGTAAATGTTTAAAAAATAGTTTTATTGACAAATTAATCATACACGTGGTATAAATATTTTTTTTGCTACTATACCATAAATAACATGGTACTTATGTGTCATTGAGTTTTAGCTCATGCATCGTTTGTTTCCCGTTTCAACTCGGAGCTTGATCAGACTTTGTCCTTGATCCCTAGGACCTATCACAATCTATCTAACACATCTTCAACCCACATGTTAGTTCTATGCTAATGTTGCCAATTCAATTGCCAAAACTAAAAGATATGATCATGGACACATGATTGTTACAACGTCACAGGTGACCACGGGTGGTGGTGGAAACCGGGGGTGGGCGGGGTCACTCGCTCAGTGAATTAGGATTTTTTTTTCAAATAATTTACTTCCAACAAATATCTAGATATGTATTTTTTCTATTGCAGTACCAGGATATGCAATTATTCATTAAACAGACCTAGGTGGAGCGTACTTTTTATTACCTCGCTTCTACTTGTTTTGGTTGCAGGATGTGTCTGCACAAACTTTTGCATTGTACTGACTCTAGTTTTAGAGTAAAACTCACCGACGGTTCTCAAAGTTGTCTTGAAGTGTCATCTAGGTTCTAAAAGTTTCAAAATACATTTTTGGCACCTTAAAGTTGTAATAGGTCTCATCTAGGTCCAAACATATATTTACTCGACCCACTATCCTACGTGGCATGGATCTGACATATGGGACCCACATGTCAGCGACAAGGGTCCACCTTTAAAAAATCGCATATGTTTTATACGATCCCGGATGAAGATGATTTTTATATGAAAATTGTAGCTTTCGATTAGATCTACAACTTTATAGTTTTCATTTGTTTTCATTAGAAATCATTAAGGCGCTAAAAATAATATAAAGTTTCAACAACATATTAATCACGCATCGGGCTTGCCGCCTTAGAAAACTCATATCATTTTCTTGTATGGTGTCGAACAAAGATACATTGCATATGAAAATTGTGGCCTCTGATGAGATCTACAAATTTCTAGTTTTGAGTTTTATCATTTGAGGCCACTAACACGTGGATCTCATATGTCAAATCCATGCCAAGTAGGATAGCGGGTCGAGTAAATTCCTGTTTGGACCTAGATAGGACCCGTTACAACTTTGGGGGGCCAAAAATGCGTTTTAGAATTTTAGAAATCTAGATGACATCTTGAATAACTTTGAGAACTGTTGATGAATTTTACTCCTAGTTTTACTTTTGCAGCCACGGTAGTAGTGGCAGCGTAAAAAAAACTTGTAGTGAACGGGCTCAGAAACGTTCGTATGCTCTCAAAGAGAATAGAGAAAAAACATTAACCATAAAAACTGAAGTTTTAATGGATACGTATCCATGTTTGCTGACTATGGGGACCGAGATACCCGGAAATCTTTCCGTCCGATGCGGACAGGAGCCGCCTGCCGATGATTTCCCGCGCAAGTCTCACGCCACCAGGCAGTTCCCGCTTCCCGCGCAAGTCCCAGGCCACCATGCAGTTCCCGCTCCGCGCAAGCCAGACGGAAGCGACGGCCCATGGTGGGAAGCGACGACCCAGGTACGTACGTTTCTCTTTTTTTTTTTCTTATTCTTCTCATTTCATTTTTTTCTTTACTTTTTTATTTTTGTTTTCATGCTTCTTTTTTTGTGTGACTTTTGATTATTCTTTTGTTTTTCTATTTTTATTTTATCTTTTTTTTCTTTTATTCTTTTCTTTCTTTTCTTTCTTTTTCTTACTATTTTTTCCATGCTTCAATTTTTTATTTTTGTTTCATGTGATTTTTCTTTATTCTTTTCATTTTTATATTTTTATTTATTTTATTTCTTTTGTGGTTTTACTATAATTAATTATTTTGTTTGTTTTATTTTATTTTTATATTTTGTTCTTTTTTTGTTTTTCTTTCTTTTTTTCCTTTTCTCTTTTGTCTTTATGTTTTCTCTATATATTTTTTTTTATTATTTTTTCTATTTTATCCTAGCTAATTAATTATTTTTTCATGGTTACTCTTTTATTTTTTTTATTCTATGAGATGCTATGATGTTCATGTAGTATATAAGTGATGTTCTATGGCATATTTTATAATGTTTACGTAGTATACAATGATGCTCTATGATGTATTTTCTTAAGTTCTCGTAGTATACATGTGGTGTTCTGTGATGTCTTTTTTTATGTTCATGTAGTATAAATGTAATGTTCATGTAATATAAATATAATGTTCATGTGATATACATGTGATGTTCACATAATAGATGTGATATTCTGTGATGTATTTTTGTGATGTTCATATAGTATATATGTGATGTTCTACGATATATTTTGTGATGTTCACATAGTTTATATGTGGTATTTTGGAACATATTTTGTGTTGTTCACGTAATATATATGTAATGTTTATGTAGTAAACATGTGATGTTCTATGGTGTATTTTTTTTACGTTCACGTGGAATATATGTGATGTTCCATGATGTTCATAAGTTTTGTGATGTTCTATGATGTTCACGGGTTATATATTTTGATGTTTTATAATGTGCACATAATTATTTTTTATGTTTTTCTTTTTTTTGATATGTTTTTTGAGGGTGGAATGTTTTTTTGTTAGACTTAAATGGTATGATACGGTTTATAATACTATAAATACTTCATATTTTTAAAAGAATCATCCATATAGTGCAGTGGTGAGGAATGATTCTTTAATTTTTTTTTTCTTGTGTTTCCTCTGCCGCACGTACTTTTTTTTGTTTCTACTTTCTAATATTTTCTGCAATATTTTTTCTTCCTCCACTATTGTCTATGTGCGCTCACGAGCGCGCTTCTGTGGTGCTCGATTGGAGAGTCAGGACCAACAAATATTAGTTGATTGTAAAAATAAAATAAAATAGCAAAATAAATGGAGCAGTAGATAATTATCGTCCACTCTCTAGGCTTCTACACTGTTCTACCAAGGTCTCGGCTAACAATAGTATTTAACTGCTGATCTCATCCATTTGCTAGAGTTGCCACGAAGCTTCCAGGAATCCAGGTACAGCTGCTAGTAGTATTTTAAAAGCCTGAACTCGTCCGTTCGAAGCCGTGGCAAACAAATGAAAGCGACACGCAGGTGCCCCCATGGCGACTCAGGTGTCAAAAACCACGCAGGTGGGCCGATGGGTACTGCCACCCCACGCACGGGCCGATCAAAACTCAGGTGCGCGGGTAGAAAATTCATTCCATTCCGACGGGTAATTCTTACCCGCGCGGGTAATTCTTACCCGACAATATACCCGAAGTTCGCAAAATATAATAGCTTCCAAAGAAAACAAATCAACAATAGAAAGCGACAAAAGCGAAACATAAATTTGGTGGAGTGGAGTGAGGATGAGGATTAGGGTTTGAGGGAGTTCTAGAATATATTCATATGCTTATATGGGCTAAATATGGGCTATATACTTATATGGGCTAAAATTGCGAGGTTGGATATTATTTATGCGGGTTGATTATGGTTGGGTAGCAGATAATTCGATGGGTACCGGCAATAACGACCCGTGGGTGTAAAATGATACGGTCCGTGAAACCCTCGGACCGTTGCCATCTTTGGCTCAAGCAGCGCCCCCGAGATACCCCCAGTCAACCGGAGATCAACGATCGTAAATTTCTAGCCGGAATAATATTTTTCTCTTACACAAACTAGTTAACAATATTTTCTTATTAATCAGCAACGAAACAAACCAGCCAACCGAACAGGCTACGGGTTAGCTACAACTACAAACTGTTCTACAACGGCATGTTCGCTTAAACTTACTAGTCAGCTTATCAGCTAGATTCTATGATATTTTTCTTTTACAATAAATCAGTTTTAGTGGGCAACTTTAACACCAGGCCCAGTGAGAATCTGGGGAGGACGGGTCGAATACGTGAGAGTTGGGAGCAAACAGTTTGTAAATTATAACCTTGCAGAAAACACCATTAGAGATTGGATAAGACGACCATATGGTACAGCAGAAAAGGTCAAAAGAAGGGGCAGTTGGGTGGCGAGGGTTTATTGCAGTCTGCAGTTGCATCCCCACCAATCTCCTCTGCCGTCGCTCTCCAAGCACCTTTGGTTTGACTTCTCCCGATTTCTTATCATTTCCCGCACAGGCTTGCGCGTGTGATCTACACGTCAACTACCTCCGTCTCTATCAGCTTCATCGCTTCCTGAGTTCCTCCTATGCCTGCGAGAAAGAAGCGTGGGCGAATTCCTCTGTGTTTCCCAGCTCCCTGTTCACCTTGGACTCGTAGGGAGTCCAGCGTCAAATACTCCTGCTTCAATCTTTTGACCTCTTCGCTGGGCCTGTGCCGCCTCCCCATGCCCGCCGTTCCTGCCTCGCTGCGCCGTCAAGCCGCCAGCCGTTTGGTTTGTAGGAGCTGGGCGAGATGTTCTTGATTCAGAAAGGGAGGAAATGAGAGGCTCTGTTCCTATCGCGATTGTTGGAGGATCTCGCCGTAGTTTGAGGCGGTGAGGTGGAGTGGAGGCGATAGAGAAGACGAGACAATAAGCCACCACGAGCTGAGCCCCGCCGCCGCCTTGCTCCAACTCCAAGCGATGTCTTGCTTCCGCTGCTTCAGCAGCAGCGAGACCAAGAGGGGCACGGGCGAGAAGCGTCGGGCGGCGCCGGCGTCCCCGGCGACCGCCTCGTTCCCGTCCACCGTCTCCACGGGCGCGCCCTCCAACCTGACCTTCTCCACGGCGTCGTCGGCCGTCGGCACGAGCCACTCCGATGACTCGAACGCGGTCATGCGCCCGGCGGCGAGCAAGTCGTCGGGCTCGGGCTCGGTGTCCTCGGCGCGGAGCATCCCGGAGCTGTACGAGGAGAGGGGAGCCAGCACCCTCCGCGAGTTCGGGTTCCGGGAGCTCAGGGCCGCCACCAGCGACTTCAGCCGCCTGCTCAAGGTCGGCGAGGGCGGCTTCGGGAGCGTTTACAAGGGCGTCGTCCGGCTACCTGGCGGACCCGCCGGCGGCACGGTGGTTGCCATCAAGAAACTCAATCCCAATGGTCATCAGGTATGGTCGTATGGATCGGTGGTTTCTTGTTTTGGTTGATCACGAATTCATCAGCAGTTTTACAGTATATTGCCTGCCATACATCCCGTAGAACTACACTGAGATTCTGTTTTTGGATCATGAAATGGACCGTACCTTGCATAACTTTGTAGAATTCATTTCGCTAATGGCTTTGTGAAGCCTAACTGTAACATGCAATCTGCTAACGCAGCATACTAACATGTGTGATAAGCATGGTGAATTGGTGATGCTAGCACTACTTCATTTCAGAAGTTCAAGGTTATCTCATTCTGGCATATTCATCTGCATCCAAGTCTCAAGAGTTTTCTGTTCCTGCTCCCGACTTGATCAGGGCCACAAGCAATGGTTGGCAGAAGTACATTTCCTGGGGGTTGTTGAGCACCCAAATCTCGTCAAGCTCATTGGGTACTGCGCTGCTCGAAGCGAGCGAGGTCCTCAGAGGCTACTGGTCTATGAGTTCATGACAAACAAGACCCTGGACGATCATCTATTCAATAAAGCATACCCCGTCTTTCCATGGGACATCAGGTTGCAGATAGCACTGGATGCCGCTGAGGGATTGCTGTACCTCCATGAGGGATTAGAAGTTCAGGTATCAACTCGGTACTCCACAAATAAATAAGGTTATCCTGAACCCTACTGAATAACTTGGATTAGATCACATGAGAACGAGCATGCCTATAAACTGTACTAATAACTGATTTGCAGTTTTGCACATCACAGGAAATGTTACAAGCGCAAATTTTTGTAGTAGGGTAACCTATCTAAAATGCAGAATAATTTTTCTTTAAGAGTAACCTATCTAAAATGCACAATAACTTTTCTTTAAGAGTGATAGATTAGGTTACATGAGAATGAGCATGCAGTATAAATTGAACAAATAGCTGATTTGCACATCACAGGAAATGTTACAAGCACAAAATTTGTAGTATGGTAACCTATCTAAAATGTTGAATTGTGATAATTCTACTGAATCATATCTAAAAATGCTGAGTGTGGTAATCCGTACTGAATCACTGGACACTAATAATAGATCTATTATGGATCAGGTGAAAACTTGGGCTTGCACATTCATACATTCTTGGAAATTGAAATATTTGTGTTATGAGTTATCTGTTTCTTACATTCTGAAACCTTGGATTGTTCATATTCTTGGATTAGACAATGTTATTGGGTGATCATGTTGATTGAATGGGAACATGGTTAAGAGAAACATGTGCTATAAATATCATTTGCTGCTCTGTGCATCTTCCCTTGACAACCAAGTTAGTCAATATGATTTGATTTTGTTTCCAAAAAAAGAATGAGAGATATTTGTGTTTGGACATTACAGGTCATATATCGCGATTTCAAAGCTTCAAATGTCCTGCTGGATGAGGAGTTTAGAGCAAAACTTTCAGATTTTGGATTGGCAAGGGAAGGACCATCAGCTGGTGATACCCACGTCTCTACAGAAGTATGTGTTGATTTTACTTCACAGAACAGAACAAGATTATTTAACTTATGCTTGGTCATGTTACAGAATTTTGCTCTATTGAAATCTTATTCTATATCCCAATTGCAATCAGGTTATGGGGACCTTGGGCTATGCAGCTCCAGATTATGTTGAGACAGGCCATCTCACTACAAAGAGTGATGTGTGGAGCTTTGGAGTAGTTCTATATGAGATCCTCACTGGACGGCGCTCAATGGAGAGGAACCGTCCCAAGAACGAGCAGAAACTTCTGGAATGGGTGAGGCTGTATCCCGTTGAAAGTAAGCAATTCAGCAAGATTATAGATAAAAGGCTTGAGGGCCACTACTCTAAGCAGGGTACTAGAAAAATTGCCATGTTGGCCAATAGCTGCCTTGCAAAGCAGAGAAGGGACCGTCCAACAATGAGAGAAGTGGTCGAGAGCCTGAAGCAAGCAATGCAGCACAAGGAGTTAGATGGGAAAACAGGGAGTTTGGGTGAGACTTCACCACCAGAGGAAGTATCTGGAAAACCAACCACAGAGGATGTTGCCGTGGCATCTGCAAGGCGGAGGATACTTCATCTGGCTGCCCTAGGTGAGAATGCAAACAGCATTGCGAGGAGGAGATTCATGATCAAGAGGACTGCGGCTACTCCAACTCCTACATAATTCTGAGTTGTAGTTGTGATCTTTTTTTTTTTTACTCTACTTTTTTAACTGGTTATGAATATAGGATCGTTGGTGATGTTTTCACCATGTCAGTATAAATCTATCAGGTGACCAACATTCTTTTTTTACTTGTGTGCTTTCTATAGGTAGGGTAGATATGAGACTCGAGAGTTACTATTGTAAAGGTTTCGTTGCTATAAAGGATCATAGATGTGAAATGTAATTCAGTTCTCTATGTTTGACTGCAACTTTGAACATTGTAAAGGTAGATAGTATTAAAGGTGTCAAATTCTTCCTTTCCATACTGGAATTTGCTTTTTACCATTGACTGATAATTCTATAGCCGCTAGCGGTATTTTTAAGGCCCTCTGTTTTAGGCTTTTAGGTATGAAATACATGTCCACTATTTTGTACTGCATTATTTCAGTTTGTAAAGTTAGAATTATAGCAGTTTCTTTTTTTTTTCCTACTCCTGTAACATAAATTTATAACCGTGAGCATGTACCCTGAGTTGTTACATGTATCAGTTTCCTTTCCTGTTAGGATCCCATGAGCAAAATGTAATTCCTATAGTGCTGATCCAGAATTATTATGATGTTATTTCAAACTTAACATGGTGAAATGTACCTTCAAGAGTTTTGACTTATTAGTGGATTGAAGCTTTACTTCGTACAAGTTCCTAAAGAAACGAATCAAATCTATAGTTTTCTGCTAGTGTACATTTGATTTCTTGGATTTCCTAAAGAACAGGTACTAAGCACAAGAAAGGGAATAATTGAGTGGCAGAGCTCCTGCCTTTTATTTCAAAAAAGCACAAGAAAGGGAAAAATATTTTTATTGAAGATGCTGTACTTATATCTTGATCAAGCGTTACATCATACTATTGCAACAAAGCTGCAAGTTCTTGAACAAACAATTTTATTTTGCTGATAGGAACTGGCTTGAAACCTTACTGACCTTCAGTATATGGCCACCAGGCAATCAGTTTTCTGCATTTGGGAAAGCTGAGCCAGTCTTGTTATCCCCCAACCTGATATTCACTGAATATGGGCCAATATCTACATGGTTATCTTCCCCTCCAGCAAAGAAGCAGAGAGTGTGTAGTGCAATTTCAAACTCGGGACTGACACCAATCAATGTGCCGGATACAGATATTAAAACTCCATGCCACTCAAACTGAACGATGAGCAGTTGTGTTTCAGAGTTTGGCTGCAGAACAACTAAAAAAGTTTAGCTCCCTTATGATATATCACATATGTGAACCACAAAGTATATTGGGATGATACTAACCAACTCCGCACGCCTCATTGGGAATATGTACCCTTGGTAATCAACATTGGCATTGGATTCTTCCAGGTAAAACAGCACATTAGTCTCCAACACCATCATAATCTCATTCAAATACGGAAACACAACTCCATCTGATAACAAAAAAGTGTGATTTTATACATGACGTGGTCTACAAATATAACTGAGTTCAGTAAATATGTAGTAGTTTCTATTTTTAGTATATTTGTAAGAAACTAATAGAATTATAACATTCATACTCTCAAATAGGGTGAAACTTTCAATTCACGTAATATTAAAATAAAGTACATACATGCGGTTGAAAAGGAATCTTGCCATAGATGTGGCTACAGCCAACAGCTGCCTAACTTGGTCAAACTCATCTTAGCTGTGGCTACCAACCGAAAAGGGCTGTAAAAATATTTAAAACACTACTCAATCAGGTTACAAACAAGTGGTGTTTTCATACATATGGAATAGATTACAAAGTACTACAGCATATGTTAAGTACTACAAAGGTGAGATTGAGGCCAAACTTGGTAGCAATGGTCTCAGGACAGTTAAACTTTTGATCACGGATATATACTGTTATGAACACATATGATAAGTAATTTATTGAAACCAAACAGCATGTGATGAACTTCACCAATGGAAAACCAATCTAGAAAAACAGCTTGGAGAATTTAATACTACTTAGATGCTATATTTTCAGACACAATATACTTATGAACAATTAGTCACAGCAATTTTATGGTTGGAGTAGAAAAACAGACAAAAAGGAATTGTCAATGGCATGAGTCTGTTCGAATCTTCACAGAAACTGGAAAGTAGCCTGATTTGGTCTTCTCTATGATGCTTTCTTTCCCCTACAGCCACCTAACCTCCATTGCTTCTGTTAAACCATAGAGCTATAGTTAAACTCATGACAACAAGTGGAGCAAAGTGATAGCAGAGATAACCATGAGAACACAAGCAGGACATATATAAACCTGATGCACTCTTCCGCATTGCAAAGTCTGTAGCTGTGGCCTGCAGTTGACAGTGCCAGTGGTGCTATCTGATCCTCCACCCATCATGTTACCTCTCTCGTCCTGAAGTAGCTAACATGATAATGCACTCAGACAGACTCATAAAAGTGTGCCAAAAAAAAAACATAAGAAGGCCCAAACCCTGAAACTGGCTGTGCCGTTGAGTGGGCGCGGGGATATGCTACTACTGCTTTCTATCATGTTCCATGCTTTCCCACCTCCAGTCTTGATCGCCTGGTTTCTGGTCGGACCACGGAGACCGCCTGCAGAGCGAATATCCTTCAGACGCTGAGAGCTTTTCTGTAAACCTCGCATTCCTCCACTTGGGCATTGCATCGGGCAGGTGGCGAGCACCTCGGCCCACGCCGACCGCTGACCTTCGTCCACGTCCCTATCTTCCGGAGCCGCACCGCTGGTCCCTCCTCGTCTCCGCAATCACCACCCCTTTGTCTAGCACGACACCTCTTTCAGTCCTTTGACGAGCCTTTCCATCGCGCCCGTATTCTTTCTGCTCCTCGCCGCCCTTCCACAGTCGGCACTATTAAAAGGGAAATGACGCGGCGGACGGGAGATCCGATGGGTCCGCGGGATCTGCGACGCAGGGAACTATCGGCCAGCCGGCGATGGATTCAATGGGTGGCGTGCTGGATTTGTGTTGGCCGGCGGCCGGCGGGCGATTGACCACACGAGAAGCAAGGGAGGGGCGGGAAGTCGGGAGCGACGACGGTTTGGTCAGTTAACCGCCGCCGAGGCGCCTATCGCTGTGGCCACTAGGATTCAACTTGGAAAATCGAGCCGCGCTGATTGTGAGCTTAAATCATATTGGGCTGGACTGTTGGGCATCCATACTGCGGTGTTGGGCTGGATTTTGCTAGCATCTCCGAAGAGTTCCATAAACACTCTTCTGACCCTTGTTTTTTAAAATATAACAAAAACCCTTATTTAACAACTCCTAATGTCTACTTCTAATTTTTAGGACTTGGAAAATTCCCCCTTCTTTCGCCTAACTTTGCGCTCACGAAACCACACGCGGATACGATGTTCCCGCGCGGAGTCCTTCCCACGCCTTCTTTTGCCGCGGCTCCCTCCTTCCCACACTCCTTCATCGCGACGTGTTTCGACATCGCTCCTTCCCGCGGCTCCCTCCTTCCCACGTACGTAGATCGATCGACGTCTCTCCTCCATTGCTCGCCGTCCAGGTCGACGAACGACGCCGCCGCGGACGTAGCGACGAGGTACGTACTCGATTTGTCGTGGGCTTGCTACGCCGCCGCCGCCGCTAGGTTTTCCTTGCTCGCCGCCGCCCCTATGTTTTGCCATGGTCGTGCTCTTTTGGATTCTACGTTTTGTGTCACTGGATCAGAAGTCGTCCATATCTTCTTGCCGTGCTAGGTCATGGCCGGATGTCGCCTCTGTGCCAGGCCATGGCGGGTTGCTGCCTCTGTGTGCGAGACCGAGGAAGGAGGTGGCGGCGGCGTAGGGAAGTGCGACCACGCGACGACTTCCACGCGAACGAAAGAAATACTGAAAAATAAGGTGGGACCAATTTTTAATTTTTTAAAGTGAAATATTAAGAACTATTGGAGAAGACATTCTTTTTTTCTCCCAATCCCTTTTAGGAGTTGGGAAACATGGACTTTTTAGAAGAAAATTTTAAAAAACTCTTGGAGATGCTCTTATGGGGCAAAGCTCTGCTTCTCATTCTAGCTTTGTCATTGAGTCAACCAAAAGATGCCTTATGAATCCATCTTTTTTTTTTTGAAAAAGTCAATATAACACTCTCAACTTCGGCACCACGGCTACTTTACCTTTTGAAACCGTCTAACGAGCACTCTAAAGTTTTCCGAACCATAATTAAACCCCTGTAGCGGTTTTAGAAGCCGGTTTTGCCTCCATGACGCTCCGACGTGAAAAGAGAGGACCTGCTGGTGGTGGGCCCCACATGTCAGACCCATTGACTCTTCAGACCATCATTGCCACGACGACCGCCGCATGCGACCGTACCGTTCGGCTCTTCGTGGACGCATGCACGGAGCGCGTGGTGTTCGTGGAGGCAGGAGAGGACATCGTCGACTTCGTCCTCTGCGTCCTTGCCGACCCCCGCGCCGCCGTCAATGGGCTGCTCCGGGAGGATCCTGCCTTCGCCCCGGCCGGCTGCTACGCCAGTCCCCTCGCCTTCGAGGCCCTCCTGCCTGCCGCGACTTGCCCCCTCCTCCTCCTCCCTCGCGCCGTGGCCGCCGCGCGGAATAGCACCTCCACGCGCTACACAGGTCGCGCTCCTTGAGATGGCGGGCGAGGGGCGACCATGGCGGCGTAGGCGGTGGTATGCCTGCCCGGCGTGTCTCGTCGAGCACAGCACGAGCGGCTGTTGCACTGTGGTGCGGCTTGGGGTCTTGGCTGGTCGTCGACAAGATGTCGCCCTGGCGTCTCGTCGAGCACAGCACGAGTGGCTGCTGCGCTGTGGTGCGGCTTGGGGTCTTGGCTGGTCGTCGAGAAGATGTCGCCGTGGGCGCGCTGCCACGGCGGAGTGGCGGGCTCCGAGACGGTGCTGTCGAAGCAGAGGAGCGGGAGCTGGAACTGTTGCTATAACAGGGCAGGAGCAGCAGTACCGGTGGCGTCACGCCTCCACGCGCGAGGTTGAGGGCGTGATTACGCAAGCAAAATTTATTTAGACCAATGTCATACCCTAGATCGGATCGATACATACACAATGAATGTAAAGTCTAATCGATACATACAGGATGAATGAAAAGTGATGAAGGAACTTGCAATTGAATATATTGTCGGATATATTATGGGCTTGGCCCATATAATATTTAATAAATCAAATAAAACTCTATGGTCTGTAACATTAAGCGTTGTATGGTTTAATACTGTATGAGATTTTGACTGAACGTTGACTCAGCTTATTTGGTTGAAAATTATCCATCTTAATTGAGAAGCTGAGAAAAGAACACAGGAATGCAAGCTATAGGGTGCAAATGGGTATTCAAGCAAAAGCTTAGGCCTGATGGTACAATCGAGAGATACAAGGCGAGACTTATGGCCAAGGGTAATACTCAAAAGGAAGATGAGAATTTCTTTGATACTTATTCACAAGTTGCTCGATTGACTATAATTCGAGTTTTGTTTTTCCTGACAGCCTTTTATGGTCTTATTGTTCATAAAATGGATGTTAAGATAGCTTTCCTAAACGGAGAGTTAGAGGAGGAGATCTATATAGATCAGCCGGATGGATTTGTAGCAAATGGTCAAGAAGGCAAGGTGTGTAAATTATTAAAGTCATTATATGGCCTAAAACAAGCTCCTAAGCAGTGGCATGAGAAGTTCGACAGAACTCTAACATCTGTTGGCTTTGTTGTGAATGAAGCTGATAAATATGTGTACTATCGGTATGGTGAGGGTAAAGGAGTTATTTTGTGCTTATATGTTGATGACATATTGATCTTTGGATCCAACCTCAAAGTAATTAAAGAGGTGAATAAATTTTTATCTAATAATTTTGAAATGAAAGTTTTGGGAGAGGCTGATGTTATTCTTAATATCAAGCTTATGAGAGAAGGTGATGATGAAGTAACTCTGTTACAATCCCACTATATGGAAAAGGTGCTGAGTCGCTTTGGGTTTAGTGACCGTGAACCTGCTCCTACACCTTATGACCCTAGTATGCTATTGAGGAAAAATCGGAGAATAGCAAGGGATCAATTGAGATATTCTCAGATCATTGATTCGCTCATGTATCTTGCTAGTGCAATAAGGCCTGGCATCTCATTTGCTGTGTGCAAGCTGAGCCGGTTTGTGTCAAACCCGGGAGATGATCACTGGCATGCTCTTGAGAGAGTGATGTGCTATCTAAAAAGCACTATAAGCTATGGTATTCGTTATACCGGACACCCGAAGGTGCTGGAAGGCTATTATGATGCCAACTGGATCTCTGATGCTGATGAGCTTTATGCCACAAGTGGATATGTGTTTTCACTTGGAGATGGTGCTGTTTCCTGGAAGTCTTGCAAGCAGACTATCTTAACGAAGTCTACAATGAAAGTAGAACTCACAGCATTAGACACTGCTGGCTCTAAGGCCGAGTGGCTTCGTGATCTCCTTATGGATTTACCGGTTATTAAAAAACCCATACCGACTATTTTTATGAACTGCGATAACCAGACTATAATTACGAAGGTTAACAGTTCTAAGGATAACATAAAGTCCACAAGACATGTTAAGAGACGACTAAAATCTGTCAAAAAATTGAGAAACTTCGGAGTAATAGCGTTGGACTATGTTCACACGTCTAACAATCTGGCAGATCAATTCACTAAGGGTCTGTCACGCAATGTGATAGAAAGTGCATCGAGAGAGATGGGTTTGAGACCCACATGAAATTTACTATAGTGGTAACATGTTCTATGTGATCGAAGATCCCTTAAAGTAGGATGGTGAAATAAGCTAGTAGTAAATTGTGAGGAAAGGTTCTTAGTAAGACTCATTTTTTATGTATATCTTTCCTTTCTGTAAGGCAGGTTGGTTTTTACCTTAATGTGTTTCAAATGGCTTGGTAAAGCAAAGATGTTGTCCTACAGAACATCTTTTGAGGAACACACCTATATGAGTCAGACTACTGGTCATAGTCTATGAGATTTGGGTGATCTCTAAATACTCATGAAAGGCACTGGAGTATGACTTATATGCTTCAAATAGAGGGGATGCCTTTTGCAGCCTAGTATCAGCTAAGGACTTTAGTGACATTCACCTCACACAAAACTATCAATTCAAGGCTTACTCCATTGTTCAGTTATGATGAAGTGAAACTATTGCTCTAGATGGATGTTCAACTTAACAGTCTCCATCGAAACACTGGTATATAAAAGAAATGTGGTTCTGAGACTACTTTGTTATAAACCCTAGAGTTTGGTGGAGATTGTCGAATATATTATGGGCTTGGCCCATATAATATTTAATAAATCAAATAAAACTCTATGGTCCGTAACATTAAGCGTTGTATGGCTTAATAATATAGGATTTTGACTGAACGTTGACTCAGCTTATTTGGTTGAAAATTATCCATCTTAATTGAGAAGCTGAGAAAAGGACACAGGAGTACCACACGCGCGCCGCCGCTTGTGCCGCAATGGCGAGGCCATGGGCATGGGCATGGGCGTGGGCATGTGGGCGAAATGACGCGTGGGCGGGCGTGGGGTGTGGGGTGAGCGCAAAGGCGACGAGCGAAGCGGCGACGCGGGCGTGAGCTGTGTTTTGCCACTTAATCCACATAATTACGGGAGTTTCTCTTTTTTATGGTGGAGGCGAGTTGATTGCACCAGTTATCATCTCTTCAT